AGTTAATTCAATGATTATAATTTTTTTTTATTATTAGAATCAGATCTTATAGGTCTTGTCCAAAGTTCTACGTTTGAATTAATTTCAATTGATTTAAACCAATCCCATAGTTTAGGTTTTTTCAAAAATTGTTTGAATCAATATTTTTAGTTTTGAAGTAAAAATTCTAAAAAATAAACTTTTGATAGTTCAATTATCTGTTTTAAGTTTTAGAAACATTCAAATGACTAAGTCACAATCCAAATGACTAAACCACTTTTCAAGACAAGTTAGAGTTTATTATATGAAGTAGAAAGACAATGAAATTTGATTGGAGCAATTGTAAAGTAATATTGAAAGGTAAAGCAAGGTTTAATTACAAGATCTATCAACCAACCCTTAAATGCATCAAAAATCAGACATGAAAGGCTCTCCCCAACGGACTTCTCAATAGATAGAAGAAAAACAAAGATTGAACAATTGAAATTGTTCTGAATCTTCTTTTTCTTGTGAGCTTTCTAGGTTAATTGTTTTTACTTACAAGGGTACTATATTTTTTTTAAATTGGGATAATCCTTAAAAGAGTTGTGTAAGTTGTTGAGATAATTCACTTATAAGAGTTTAATCTTACACCAACAAGTAAGAGAATCTTAATAGATTGAACTCTTAAGTAAGGAAGCTTGGGGAGGCTTGAGGAATGAACGTATTCCGAGTTGAAAGAATCACTATAAATCACGGCTTGATATTTTCTTTCTTTTTATTTTTTTCTGTATTTTATTTGCGAAATTACAATTATTGTTTATTTATTTTGCATAATAGTTTATAAATTGGAGATTTAATTCATCTTTTTTTTTTTAAAAAAAAAGAAGTTTTGAATTAAATTAATAAGACTTAATTTACCCCCTCTTGGGTAGCCAATTGGGATTACAATTCCTACTACTGGAAAAAATCCACATCAACTTTTCTTTGTTAGGTGATTGATAAAGTGTAAAAAAAAATTGATATGGTGTTATTTGATTGGGTGATATCCCAAAGATATAGTAGAATTTCTCTTATGGACTTCCATCCTATAACCCACCGGACAAAGTACCATTTTATTTTTATGGAAAGAAAATTAATATTGAATTACTTATTTTTATTTATTTTTCTTTTTTCTAGATGTTAGTTCTCTAAGTAGTTCATTGGCAATTGGGAACAGAGACTTCCATTCCTCCAATAATTCTGTTGGGTTTTGGTTTGATGCTTAAATGAACTTCAAATTGAGCTTAAAACAGGGAGAGGTGGGGGGGAAGGGTGCCTCCCGGGTTCGTCTAACCTGAGAGGAAATCAACACTAAATATTGAGCCTGGGAGCTGGGGAGTCGGGTACCAGTTGCGCTGGACCCGTTGGGCCCTGAGCAGGTTGATGGGCCGTGACAGTCAGAAGGACGGGCCGAGCAGATGGAATAAGCATCTCGATTATGCAGGGTGCGAGGCA